TTTTTTTTTTTTTTTTTTTTTTTTTTTTTTTTGCGAGGATTTAGTAATTTTATGCCATTCGTGACGTCTTGCCAGCGCTGGAACATAGTACAGTTCCTGTAAATTGACTTTCTGTCCTTGCGAAACATTGCTGGTCTCACACTCGGATGGTTTCTCCCTCTGCCCAGGGTCTTCAAAACCACCCCTCTCGATATGACTTCGCCTGGGACTCTCCTCTCCAGGGCCTCCCCGTCTGCCGATAGAAAACGTATCCAGACTTCACGCACTGAGGTTTTTGCTCTCCCCTTAGGCGATCTGAAAAATGGACCAGGAATAAGCAGACAGGAAGGTAAGGACCTGTGGAGGCTCCTCGTGACACTCCCTCAGGTAGCATCCGAGCGTCTCCCCTTGGCAGGGGGCAGGAGTTGTGCCAGGCTCTAAACACAGTCCCGACCCCAGGACTGGGACTCTGCTGTGCATATGCCTTTGCCTTTAGTCTCACGCACACCTGGGAGAGCGGGATAAAGAGCAGGGTTTCTGTGATGTGGCGTGCGTCCCTGGTGTGACGGGAGGTAATTTTAGGAGGTAGACAGCCATGGACAGACAGCACGACCAGACAGCTCGTCCCTATTTGGCTGTGCTAGTTCTTCCAGTTATCTTGAGGAGAAAGCTTTAGTTTGACACCACCAACATTTCTCCAGCACCGTCTAATTTCCCTTCTGAAAAATGGAAAAGGAGACCAGAGGCTCAGCTCATTAGGCAGGTAATGGTATGTGGTTAGCAAATAATAGCATTATTTCATGTTTGTTATACATATATTCTGGGTTATATGCTAATTATGATAAGTACTCCATAAATGGCTTTTTGCTTCTAGAGTAAGTGTGATGTTCTTAAAATATGACATACATTTGCAGTATTAAATATAAATATAATTAAACACATAAATATGTGATGCACATAAATCGTAAAAAAGAAATCCACTTGAGAAAACCCCAGAAAGTGACAGCACTGAGGCACATGTCACTACCCCAAGGGCAGTGCTCAAGCAGCCGAAGTCTGGAGAGCAGTGGGTGTCAGAAAGTGCTTTGGAAGTGATGTGATTGGACGTAGCTCGGCTTTGGCCCTAATTCATGGTGTGTTTGACCTTAGACAAGTTAGTTTTTTATTTTATGAAAAAGCGAAACAAAATTTCCTAACAAAATAATAAGAGAACAACAGTACACTGTGTATTGGCATCTCTGGTTCTGTTTTGTTTTTGGTACTGGGGCTCAGACTGGTGAGGCAGGTGGCGGCACCACTGAGCCACATCCCTGGCCCTGTATCAGCATCTTTGAAGGAGTTACTCAGAGTACAAGAATAAACCTAAAAGATTCTTACAAAAAAGAAAAATAATAGCAAATAGCTTTCTCTTCAGCAAACTAATATAGGCTAGTAGAATAAATGAAAAGAAAAGCATATATATTAAAATATTTTTGAAACAGAATGAAGAGACAATCTACAGAATGAGAAAAATTTTGCCAGCTATCCCATGGACAGAGGACCAGCATCAAGCATATATAAAGAGCTAAAAAAAATTAGACCTTTCAAGGTAAAAAACTCAATTAAAGGATGGGCAACCAAAGTTATATTAATAGGTACTTCTCAGAAGAAGTATAAATGGCCAAAGAACATATGAAAAAATGCTCATTATTGCTGGCCATTAGAGAAACACAAATTAAAACAGCACTGAAGAAAAGAAACAAAACAAAACAAGAAAACAACACTGAGATATCATCTTACCCAGGAAGAACGGCTGTCACCAAAAAATCCCATGGCTCCTGGCTCCACTGCTGTGCATGGAAGAAGAGTGTGGCGGAGCAAAGCCACTCACCTCATGGCCACTGGGGCGCAGTGCTGGGGGAAGACACCAGCCGGGCACACCCGCCACGGCAGCCCTAGGGCCACGGCAACTGAGCCCGCCTCTAACCATCACCCTCAGCTCCAGACATCGCCGCATCAAGCCAGTGAGGAGCACAGCACGCCTGTGCTTCACTCTCCTCCCCAGGACTCTCCGTCAAGTCACGTTGGCTGTGAAGATGGACTGGAACAGGTTTCTTCAAGAAATTTCATGAGTGACCCACACCTATTATCTCAGCCCTCTAGGAGGTTGAGGCAGGGGGATCCCAAGTTGGAATCCCAACTGGGCCGCTTAGCAACTTAGAGAGACCTTGTTTCAAAATTAAAAAATTAGAAAATGGACCAAGGATGCAGAACAGTGTGAGGACTCAATCCCCAGGGCCCGTCCCATGCAATTTCCTGAGAAAGGATGAGTTGGCACCATCCATGCCAACCCGTGTTTCCTGTCCCACTTGCGTGCGTCTCTTCGCCCCAGTGCAGTCCAGAATTATGAGGTCAGCAGCATCTGCTTCTCCCAGGATCTAGACCAGTGTGGATGACCCCCATGGCCCACTGCCCGCCTGTTGGTCCTTCAGTCACATGGCTGGGGGGCTGTTTCCCCGAGGCCTGAGTCCGATAGGAGAGCTTCTGAGTCAGCACCCAGAGTTGCAGTAATGTGGGTAGCACCGGGGGTCACCCCTCAGGCAAAGAAAGACGAAGATGCAGTGAGACCGCGATGCCTCCTTGGGCCAGAGAGTCCATGGCTTCTTACCTCCTCCTCAGCTTCCTGATGCAGACACGCTGCTCTGGAGACCTGGAGCTCTGGGCAGAAGCAGAAAGGTTCTTGATTGGAGAACCTTCATCCTTGGGTCTCAGTCTTTCTTTCTTTTTCTGTCTTTTGGGTGGTGCTCCTGTCCCCTCTTCTAGAATTATACTGTGCTGTCCTCAGGCTGGAGCAAGGGCTGGTGACCCTGGCTTCACACACGAGCACAACAAATGACAACAAATGACTTCCTCCTTGGGAGTGAGGGACTCTTTCCTTCTCAGCAGGGTCCAGCATGCTTCCCACCATGAATTGTTAAACTGCTTTCCCGCTATTTACTCATGAAGATAATGGAGGTCATCAGGCTTGGCCCAAGAGAATAGGATCACTCTTGAGAATGAGGTCTCCTTCCCTTGAGGGACACAGGGAAGATACTGAAGCAGGACAGGATGCTATTAGCAGCAGAAGAAAGGGAAATCTAATAGTGTCTGTTCAATACATATGCTTTAGTATGATGAACTGTATGTAGTCATCTGTACATCTGTACATCTGTCCATACCCATGAACCCCAGCAGGCACCAAAATCACGGAAGCTCAAGTCCCTCAATGCAAAATTGTGTCGTATCTGCACACAACTTGTGCGTGCCTCACCATATACTTTCAGTAGTCTCTAGATCTCCTGTAGTACCTGATGCAATGCAAAGGCATTGTTATATTGTTATATTGCGTTGTTTAGGGAATGATGACAAGAAAGATGAAGCTATGTATTTTTGGTACAGACGTAAGCATTTTAGGCCTGGCCACATAGCACACATCAGCAACAACTTGTCTGAATATATCTGATCCCTCTTTCCTTGAATCTGAGGACACACAAGCCATGAATAAGGAAAGCTGACTGTATACAGCACACTACGTTCCACGTGTAAGCTACCGCAGGTTTGCACTGTGAACCGCCTACAATGTTAGCAGAGAAGAGGATTACTTGAAACCATTAAGACTAAATTACATACTGGACATTTTCCCTGGAGGAAATGTACCCAGGGCACTAATAACCATGTGTGAGACCAGAGGGTCTTAGAGATATGCACAGGAGACAGGGCTGATGCACCCGTCACTCCCCAGCCTGATCATATAAGTAAGTGGGACCCCTAAGGCTCACAGAGGCTGCTTGAATTTCTGCACTTACTCCTGAGAATTCTGCCAAGGCCCCACAGCTTGATCATTCATCCCAAAGCCTAGAACAGGGTTTGCAGGCCAAGAGTCAGAGAGGGGGCGGCAGCCTTTCCCAATTCCCATTTCCTACTTTCAGAGTAAATAAAGATGGGGGAGAAGAGAAGCAATAAAAATCTTTTAAAAGATGCCAGAGACAGCTGCCTCTGTTCTCAATTTGGTCCCCAAATGGCCTTCTACAAAACTGTCTCCTGCCTGAGGAAAATATTATGAAGCTATTTTAGAATTTTGCAGTTCAGACCCAATATAAGCATCTCCAGAGTACTTAGCAGATAGTCAAGGATGAGGTTCAAAATCTAGGACAAAAGCAGAGATTTTTGTTACCCCTCCCTGCCACTCCAAGCCTTCTCCCAGGTGGTCCCTAACCCCGCCAAAACGTACAGTATGATGAGCTCTCCATATCTGTCTTTGGCTGACCTAAAGCTATTCGTGTCTGCATGGCATTGTGTACCTTTAAGGCACCTTTGTGATTTGTAAAAGTCTTATGGGTCTCCTAAGCCAAGGCAGTTCTTCTGGCTTGGCACACAGACCCCTTCCACCTTTACATGTTGGTAGTGAGGACTGTGAATTTGGGAGGGAAGTAACTTCCCAGGGTCTTGTAACTGGACAGGTGGCAGGGAAAATGGGGCCAGGGTCTAAACGTTCTAACCTCCATCTCCATGCACTGCGCCATACACAGAGCACTTCTCATCTGACTTATAGAGGAAGGACAATCTGTCCTCCTATGTATAACCATAAAGTAGAGAATTACTAAGGGGCAGAAGCGAAGGGAAGGCGGAGACAAAAGAAGATAAGGGGCTACAGGATTTTTGTGGGATCTTTGGACCCTTCAAACGTACTCTAAAGACCACTGTTGTCTCTTAACTGCTTCCTAAGTTAGGGGATGTTTGAACGAAATTGGCTGACATCACTTCCATTTTTTTTTTAATCACTGACGTTTTGGTAGGTGAAGCCAAAATAAGAAATTTCAGTAAAACTTGGTGATATTTATTTGAGCTGCAGCGGAAAATTAATAACAGCATTACCTGTTGTATTTTATACACTAGCAATTAACAATCTAAAAATGAAAGGAAGACAACTACTTCATTTATAACTGCAAAAAGGATAAGATACTTTGAGATAGACTTACAAAAGTGTAAGGCGTGTACCTTGAAAACTATTAAACACCCTTGAAAAAATGAAATGGAAAAACATCCTGTGCTTGTAAGTTAGAAGACTTAATATTGCAGAGATGCCAATAATTCCTAGATTTAACATAATACCAAACAACATACCAGCTGACTCCTCGGTGGAAAGTGACAGTGTGATCCTCGAATTCGTGTTGGATGTAACAAAGAACCCAGACTACCAACAAAATGATTTTGGAAAGGGAGAACACAGTTGGAGGACTCACACTTCTAAACTTCTAAACTTACTACAAAACAACAAGAATAATCAGCAGTGTAGACCCTGCATAAAGACAAATGCAGATTAGTAGAAAACATCTGAGAATCCAGAGATGAACCCACATATTTATGGCCTGTTGGTTTTAGCAAGACTGCCAAGATCATTCAGTGAGGGGCAGGGACAGTTTTTAATCAAATGAGGTTTAGGCATCCAAGTATCTATGCGCAAAAGAATAAATCTGGACCCCATACATAAAAATTCACTGAAAATGGATCACAGACCTAAATCCAAGAGCTAAAAGTAAAAAAGTCTTAGAAAAGAACATATAAATAATTTATAGTCAGCTTGCATAGGGCACTTGTACACTCCAAACAGACACAATCAAAATAGATATATTGGACGTTATGAAAATTAAAAATTTTGTTTAAAGGATCCATTCAAGAAAGTAAAAAGGCAAACCACAGAAAAAAGAAAGTATTTGCAAATCATGTATCTGATATGTGGATCGTATGCAGGATATTAACAAATGTAACTTAATATAAAAAACCAAATATTTCCGTTAGAAGCAGGGAAAGGAAAGGGATAAACATTTCTCCAAAGACCCACAGATATCAGATGAGCACAATAAAAGAAGCTCGAACCATTGGTCATTAAGAAGATGTAAGTCCAGCCCACAAGGAGATGCTGTTGAAGCTCACTAGGGTGGTCATCTCCAAACAAATGTTGGTGAACTTGTAGACAGACAGAGACCCTTGTGTTCTGCTGGTGGAAATATACATTATGCAGTCACTTCACAAACACTTTATCAGTTTCTCAGTTAGTTAAGCAGAGTTACCATATGAAGCAAGGACTGCCTCCTCAGAACATTCTCAAGAGCACTGAAAAGGCACCTTCAGAAAATCCTGTGTACAAATGTTCACAGAAACATTAGCCAAAAGGTGGAAACAATCTGTGTAATAAACAAAAGCTGATGTGTATTCATACAGTAGACTGTTATATTCCAAATACAAGATATGCAAAAGGAAAGAAATGCAAGCACTTGCTACCAGTAGATGAATTTTTAAATCCTTACTCTGTGACAGAAGCAGGACAGAAAAGCCGTATAGTGTATAAGTCTGCCTGTATTACATTTCCAAAGTAAGAAAACACATATTCTGGAGTTAGATGGTGATAGTTGTGCCGCTTTGTGAATGTACTAAAAATCAGTAGATCGTATATTCAAAGTATGAATTTTATGACATGAAAAAAATCTAGTAAAGCTGTTAATTAAAATATTCCATGAAGCTGGGTGTGGTATTACATACCTGTGATCCCAGAACTCAGGAAGACAAGGTTTGAGGCCAGCTTGAGCTACACAGCAAGACTCAGTCTCAAAAAACAAAACAAAACAAAACAAATTTTCATGAACAACTACAAATCAATATATGAAATATAATTAAAGTTGTGATCAGAGGCATACTTACTATCTTAAATATTTGTATCAATACTAATAAAATGTGGGAATTAAATGAATTAAATCTCTAACTCAAAAAGCTAAAGAATGAACAGCAAAGCAAAAATACATGGACAAAAGATAGAAGATAAAAGAAATAAATATGGTAGGAAATGGAAAAATGGAGGAAATTGGATTAAAACTATGGCTTTGAATAAAACAAGAGAATACATAATGCACTAGTTATATTTTTTAAGGGAGGTACATTAATATACAAAATAAGAAATGACAAGAGAGGAATAACCATTGGGAATGAAAGAGATTGAAATAATCATAAGAGACTAATTCATTACTGTTTACACATAAGTTTCAGGAGTTAAAGTGACATGGGAAATGCCCTAAATAAACACAATTCCCCAAAGTTGATTTCAACAGAGTTAGAAAGTTGAAATTGAATTCCATCAAATAAAGTCATCAAAAAACTATTCCATTAAAGAAAAATTACCAAGTCCAGATGATTTTAAAGAAAATCTCTATCAAATCTGTAAAGACCAGAGGATGCCAACATTAAACCACTTTTGCAGAGCCTAAAAAGGATTGCTTTCAAATTATTTTCATGAAGCAACACTGTATTAATTCTAAATGTCCCAAAGATATTACAAAAAGAGTAAACCATAGAGTAGGTTCAAAATGAATATCTCAGCAAAATTCCTACATGGTATGAAATAGAATCTAATATAGTGTTAGGAAAATAATACATCATACTCAAGAGACATTTATTTAAGGAATGCAAAGATGGTTCAATATTTGGAAATTGGTTTCTGTCTCATACCACACTAATTAATAAGGGGAAATTATATGTTTATGTCTATGAGTGAGTGAAGGCCTTGGTGTTGTCAGCTCTCTGTTGCAGGGATAAAACTCCTGAGACACACAGTTTATGAGAAGGAAGGGTTAACTCTGGCTCATCGTTTCAGAGGTGTCAGTCCCTGGTTGGTCCTCAGTGCTCTGAGGCCAAGGAAGGCAGCACATGGTGAGGGGAGCAGGGTGGGGCACAGCTGCTTTCCTCGTGGTCACCAGAAGGCAGAGAGGGAGCCTTCCTCAGGGGTAGGACTTCAGGGACAACTTCATCTAGGCCCACCCACCCCTTCAAGGTCTGCCTCCCAAGAGTGCCACAGGAGGGTGACTTGGCCTTTAGCATAGGACCTTTAGGGGATATTTAATACCTAAGCCACATCAGCTCTCCAGTGCTGATGGCCTGACCCAGTGCAGACTAATAAGGGTGACAATGGATCAGATGATGTAAAAGTTCCCGCAGACATTTGAATGGCAAAATATACCATAATAAGTGATAAATTGGGAGGAAGTATTTACAATGTGTTTTGCCGATACTGGACTAATCATTCCAAGCATTTTTAGAAATTGAGGGGAATTAAAGACCAGAAACTTGATGAAAAATGAGTAAAATAATGGACAGTCACAGGAAAACATTTATAAGTGATTTGAAATTTATAAAGAATGCACAACGTCACTGTGAAAAAAATGTAAATTAAAACCACATGGAGGTAACATTTCTCACTTATTGATTTGGCAAAAATCTGAAAGCTGAGCAGTATGTGGTTGGCCAGTCTTTGGGGAAAGGTGCCTCTCAGGGGGCATAGGGAACGGGAAAATGCCCAGGCCTGGAAATTGGAGGTGCACAGAGGATGGCACACAGCTGAGCAGCTCACCTGCAGGACTGCTGGTAGGAGTTTTCCCTGAAAATATGTATCTTCACTCTTCACAGATAATCATTTATAGGAACATGGATGCACCTCAAGCCGATAAAGCTAAATGGAACAAATCAGATGCAGACGGCTGACTGTAGCATTGGTTTCTCTTCTTTGAAAAACCCAAAGGATAAAGAGTTTAGAGAGCCAAGGTAAAACATGAGAGGAAACGGAGATTTTGTGGAGGTTAGAAAGAGATCTAAGGATAAAGGGAGAAAGGCAAAAAGGGAGGGGAGAGGAAGTAAAAAGGAAAGTATTTGTTATTACAAACCTGTGCTAATAAGATTTTTAAATGAAGTAATATATGCATAAAGTTATTTATGACTGGTATTTGTCATGGTAAAATGTTCAGACTAATTAAAAACAGACCCATTGGACATGGCTGAAAGAACTGTGCTGTGTTTACTGCATGTAACGGGGGACTCGTGTCACAGTGACACAAAGGACCGAGACTGCTCCAAACTGACAGTGAGTCTCTTTCAGAATGTACTATAAAAAACAGAAAAGGCAAAGTGTGAAATTTGCATAGATTTTGTTATCTTTGGTTCAAGAAATGGAAATCAAAATGTATGCATGTGCATTTGATTGTTTTGGGGGAGAGAAAAAGAGGAAAGATGAACCTGAGCCTCTCTCAGGAGTGAACTGAACAGAGGAAAGTCCTGGCCTTCGTTGTTCAAGTCTTCTAGCTTAGGTTTGGGATTTTCAAGAAGCAATGTTGGTCATGAAAAGAGCGAGAGCACAGGGAGCCCCAGGCAGCCCAAGGAGTCTGAGCTCAGCCTCGGAGGAAGGGAACTGTGGGGGTGTGGGAGGAGCAGGGGACCCTTCCGCAGGGCTGCCAGGCCCACCCTCACTTTCTTCCGGCCTCGGACCTGCTCTGGGCTCTGCTTCCTCCCGCCCAGTTCCCAGTGTCTTGCCCAGTGATCCGGTGTCTTGTTCCCAGTGACAATACTTGTCAATATAGACAAGTATGAGCACCATTTGCTAGGCACGCGTCCTCCTGGGGTGCACAGAGGTGAGGGGCTCGCAGGTGGGAGATCAGGGACCTGTAGTGATAGCCGGCTGGGCCATGCGAGGGGGAAGCGAAGCAAAGTCGGCCCACCTTCACCAGGCCCCACAGTACCCCTGCCATGCGAAGCTGTCATTGCCCCAGGTTCAGTCGGCCAGCAGGCCGGCAGGGATGCCCAGGGGACCTGCCTGACCCTCCTGGCTCTTTCTGAGCCCTTCCTGGGTCCCCGGGGCTTGGGGTCTGTGCTACTCTGATCCCAGCCCCTCAGGGACAGGCCAGCCACCAGGGTCCTGGTCCTGGGAGAGGGACTGCAACCATCCTTTTTCGTTAGATGAAATAAACAATATGAAGAGGACCTAGGCGAACTGTGACTTCCCTTGTTCTCCTGGTCTATGGCTTTTTTCTAGGTAGGTTAGAGGAATTCAGTCTGGGGCTGCTTTTTCAACCCAAACACATCAATTTTAGATACCCCGCTGGTGCTCTAAGTTGATTGAAAGTGAGTTGGACTGGTTTCTTGTTAATACTCATTTTTGAGGAGCTCCGAGGTACATTTTTGACCTTTGGGCTTTGACCCAGAGATGTCCCTGTGTCTCAGCGAGTCTCCAGCGGATGCTGTTTTGTTTGGTTTTATTGGACAGGCTGCTGCAGTACCACTGTATTTCACAGGGTGGCAGACTCTGCATGAAAAAGGGGCTCCCAGCTCAGGCTGGGGTTTCCCAGAATCACACTCCTTGACAAATGTTATTCATATTGATTGCTTTCGTTAATGCGTCAGAGAGAATGTATGCTCGGATACATTCTTTGTGATGTTTATTGCCTTTTCTCTTTAGAAAGAGAAACTAAAACAAACAAGGCTTTAGCCATTTCAATGGATCTTTACAACAGATCAATCAAAATAATGCTAGAGTGGAGAGGCGAGAGGGCAGCCGCGAGGGCTACAACCGAGCAGCCTTCCCTGCAGTTGTGCCCTCCACTGTGGCATTAATGTTTCATTCCTGGCCTGGCACGAGGTGGCACACCTGCAATCCTAGCCCTCAGGAGGCTGGGGCAGGAGGAACGCTGACGGTTTGAGGTCAGCCTGGGCTACCTAGTGAGTTTAAGTCCAGCCTGAACTACACAGTGAGACACTGTCTCAAGAAAACAAAAAACAAAACAACAACAATAACAACAACATAAACATTTTATTCTTGCTGTTTCGAGTAATTCAAAGATTTGAGAGGGGCTCCTCTGTCTGGACTGTGCTGGTAAAACCACACTTGTTGGCTTTTGATAGCAGGTGGCCCTGGGCAACCTCCACAAGCACAAGCTCTTAGGTTCATCAAGACCCAGTGATGTTTCTCCAGGCCTTGGGGCTGTCTGCTTTGCAAAGGGCTGATAACTACTCCTAGAAATGCTTAAAAACAAGAAACAAAACAAAAACAAAGGCCAACGAACATATTCCGAGAGGAAGTAAAGGACTGGGTGATAGGATTGCTCCCTCTGATTCTTAACCTTCAGCCTAAACATTAGCTACAATATGCAGGGGACAAACCTCTGAAAACTGTTATTTATCATTGTTAAAACATTTTTTTTGTGTGTATGCGAGAACATACTCTGTGCCTATCTGCAGTGCTTGATTGTTTGGAAATCCTGTCCCTTTATTTTATTTTCCCGATTCTGGTCAGAAATCTCTTCCAAGACAAATAGGTCTGCAGATCACAGGTAACTAAGCAATAAAACAAGAGCTCCCAGGTTAGGACGCCGCAGCCCACGCCGAGCACTATGGTGTGGTCACAGCCTGTGCCTGGTGCGGGGTTCCGTCCAGAGCCTTGTGACTCAGGAGGCTCAGGGTCCTCGCAGACCCTGGAGATGGCAGCTAAAAGGCTCAGGGTCAGTTTCACGGTCAGTTTCACGGATGCGTTCAGAGGCAAACCTTGCCCTACGCTTGAGGCAGCATCAGAAGACCAGGGCCTCTGCTGACAGACCTCAGGGAGGGCCCTGGACTCTGGCAGAATGGAGCCGCTGCTCTCAGCTGACTCACAGCGCCCCAGCATTGCCGAGCATGGCTTCCCACAGCTCTCTCTGAGCAGCGATTCCTGCGGGATGATGCTAGCTGAATGCCACTTATTTCCAAAGTATTCTGCCAAAGACTCAAGAGCAGCTCGTTGGATCCCATGTCCGTGGCTCTTGAACTTTCAACCCTGGATAATGAATGGGGATTTTAGGGTTGAGGCAGGTGTGAGTCACTGCATCGATGTTTTCTGGACCCTGGAAGTAGGGAAGTTTGGCACCTGCTGGGGCAGTGGGCCTGGCCCTCGCCTGCTGATAACAGTGATCACAGTGACTGGAGAGAAATACACATGGACAGGCCTCACTTGGCATTCACAGGCTCGTCGAATGGCACTGGGTGTCATCACAGCTGGCATCTTGGCTAAGTCGCTTTCCTCCCTTCTTAGCCTGGTGAGATTTCCTCCTGACTCACATCGTCCCACACCAATGCAGTGGGTCCCTTCCCCTTTGTGGTGCACACCAGCGCTCCAGAAGTTCTCCCTTCTTTGTCTCTCCCCCTCTGCTCTCTTGGATTGTTCCATCAGCACACAGACATGTGATTATTTCCCCTGCTGAAGAAAGGCCACACCACCAAGAGTCTCCTCTATTTATTTTTCTAGCTCTGAGTTCGAATTCTGATGCAGCACAATGCCGTCCTCCTCCATTAGGCTCAGAGATCCGGAAACGACTTGGATGATGAGGCTGGGCCCTCCGCAGGGCCAGATGCAGTGCCAGCTCTGTCCTCAGCCCCGTGTGGTGTGAGCAGCCTTCAACACTGCCGGTCACCCCTGCTCTGCAGTTGCTCTGTGTTTCCCAGGTAGCTCTGCAGAGCCCAACCGTTGCTGTCTGTCGTCTGCCTTCACCTTTCCCTCCCTCAGGAGGAGCCCGCCACCCCTGGACTCACATCTGCTCTGCAGGATCTGATTAGCGTGGGCTCTTTGCAGTCGACATCCACATGGCCCGCCGTGCCCCTCTGCTAGGCGAGACATTCGGTACCCACCTGCCTCAGAGTCTGTGGACACCGCAGCTGTGTGAGCACGCGTGGGGGCGCCACCGCCCGCTGCGTCGCCCTTCCCCAGCACTGCGTGGCTCTGTCCCACCCTGCCGTCTGCTCAGGCTGCTGACGAGCTCAGCACCCATCCGCCGGATCCAGCCAGTGCTCTGCGAAGGAATTCCTTGACCACACCTCCGACATGTCCGGAGCAGGCGTGGCTGGGGGCCGCACTGATGGCGGGCCCAGCCACCCTCACCACTCACCCTTGTCCCCTCCAGGACGAAGACTTTCAGAGCCCTGTTCCAGGCCTTCCGATGGCTCCCAGTGGCACCGAGGGAAAAAGCAGGGCACGAGCGACAGCTGCAGGGAAGCCTGGTTCTGCTAGGCCTCTGGTGCCTGGCCCTCCCGAGCTCCCCTCCCCGTCCACACTGGCCTGCAGACTCCTCTGTAAACGGGGCGGGGGGGAGTTGGCTCTTCTTTCCTTCCCTGGAGTCCTCTTTTTCCACCGCATCTTTTTTTGCGGGTGCTGGGGATTAAACTCGGGACCTTGCGCTTGCAGGGCAGGTGATGACGCTAGTGAGCTAAATCCCCGGCCCTCCCACCACCTTTTAATCTACTCCCTCGAATATCTTCAGCTTCCTTCTCACCTTCCTTGGCTCCACGCTGGCCACCTGCTAATCCTGGCCCTGGCCTCAGCACTGGACCCAGAGCTCGTGGAGCGATCTTCACGTGTGTAGGTCGTGGCAGGTGTGCGCGCCCTCAGTGCAGCTGATCCCGAGCAGGGGGCATGGAGGTGGGCGGGACAGGGTGCGCAGTGACGTGGAAGGTGTCTCCCAGGAGGGAGTCTCCGTCTAGGACCGGGGAGCGCTCCCCGACCCCACGGCCTCCGGTGCTTCGCAGTCCTACAGCAGAAAGGCCCCGTTGTCCCGGCGATGATGACTACCTCGCTGCACGGCTCTGACCGTCTCTCTGGGTCTCCAGGCGAACGGCCTCGCTTTGAGCTGACCTATTGTGACCCGACAGACACTGTTTGATCTCGGCTGGGCCTCGGCTTCTTCATCTATGGAGAAAGGCTGCCGTCACCCACGACATCGTGTGGGTCTCGGCCCACAGGCACGCAGCACTGTCCCTCTGAGCACGAGTCTCAGACCTCGCTCAGCGCGTTCCTAGTCAAGGTAGGTCCCACACCTGCCCAGCAAATGTCTACCTGTCCCTAACACACAGCTTCACATGATACCTAAATTTGCTCTGCTCTGACCTCCTTGCCGCCACTTGCTCAGGGCTCACTGCCCGCCGTGGGCCACGCTCTGGCCCGGACGGCTCTGAAGGGCCCCGTTGGACTGTGGCGGCAGCAGCCTGTGCCATCCAGGAGCTGGCCGTCGGGAGCAGACGGGCACCGACGTGTGGAGTCGGTGGCCTGCGGGGCCGCAGGTGTAGTGAGCTGTCCCTGTCCGTGCCAGACCAGCCCTGGCCAGGTCGTCAGCTCGCTCTGCCTCAGACTAAGAACATCTGCGGTCCTGAGCAGCCTCCTTTCTCCGCGGAGGTGTGGAGTGGACCTACGATGGCAGCAGCTGGGGCCAGGCCTTCGCTCAGCGGTTCCACACAGGTGAGCTTGGAGCGGAGTCCCAGGAGCAAACGTGTCTGGAGGCGGCTCACTGCTGCCCCCAGAGGGCAGGCGACGGAAGGCGGGGGCAGGTGAAAAGCCTCATTTGCCCTGGTTTGCGGTTCACTCACCCGATGACTCCGGACGACTCACCTTCTCTCTGTAGCCCTCGATTTGTCACTCTTGTTTCATCAGCAGGATTATTTCTGTAAATAAAGATATTTCATGGGGAAGCCTTGAGTGAAAAGTGGAGGGGATGGGATGGCCCAGAGTCTCCCTGTCCAGGGCCCACCCTGACTAGGAACACGGCGAGGGAGGTTTTGATCGTGCTCAGTGTGACAAATGCCCAGCGCGTATATGGGCCAGGACCCACCTTATAATGTGGGCGACGGCACCCTGACTGTGTAGAAACTGAAGGGAGGGCGTGGGGGCTTCTGAGGCCTCCCCACCCATCGCTTAAGGAGCCCCGTTAGACTAGGTGACCTGTGCGGCTCTTCCAGCTCAGAGTCCATGAACTTGTGAGTCGGAGCTGTGCTGGGGTCCTGGAGAACAGGAGGGATGGGTAGGGCGGGGGCACAGGGAGCGACACTCTGCAGTTCTGGAATGGCAAGAGATAATGGAGAAGCAGATAAACGTCCCCAGGGGAAGTCGCCCTGGCTCAGCGGTCACCCCTGCCTGTGTGGTGCGAACCTTCCCTCTGGGCCACGCTGCTCCTCCAGGCCTCTTTGGAAAGACTGTCTCGCAACAGCAGCTGCAGGAGGCATTTGCCAGCTGCTTTAAATTCCTTTATTTGCACTTTCAGAGGCCGAGGAAGGAGGATCGTAAGTTTGAGCCCAGCCTGGGTAACCTAATGAGTGAATATGACTCTGTCTTAAAATTTTTAAAAAAGAGCTGGGGATGTAGCTCAATGAGAAGCCCAACCCCCAGTATCCAAAAGAAAAACCCCTTTGATTCTAGTTGCTTAATGCCCTGCTTGGTGACGAGAACATGAACACAGCACAGGCCCTAGAAGGCAGGGAGTGCCTGAGGGAGGTCCTGGCCGGGAGCGTGTGCAGGTCTGCAGTCTCTTGGGCGAAGGCCCCTCCAGTGCAGGGAGAGGCCCGTGAGCCACAAACAGTGAGCCTGTCCTGGCCAGCCACGCCCGGGAGGAGGCCGGCAGAAGGAACTGTGCGCAGAGGTAACCGGGGCTGGAGAGCACGGGCAACACGGGGACGAGCCTGTCCCTGCAAACGCACTTGTGCAAACTAGTTTTGCCTTTTTGCCTAGTTCTGCTGGGCCCCTCCCTGCAAGCCACAAGTGTAAATTTGGGGAGTGGCCAGTCAGCCTCCTGGGGAGAGCATGACATCGACCCACTACTGAAGTGCCTGGACGTCTTCCCAGTGACCGTCTCCAAGAATGAGCACTCACACCAGACTCTTCCTTGTTTTGCTTGGGTCTTTGTGTGTATTTTTAATGATGCAACTGCGATTCGATCAAAACAGAACTTTAAAGAGATTCTTCTGGTGTGTGCTTGGTCCGTGCTCTCTGAGGGCCGAGGAAGGAAACAGGCCTTATCTGAGAGAACAGTGGCTACTTCAGTTCAGCCACTGCTCTCTTTTTAAGGCAGTGAGAGCCCACGAATAAGCACAGGTCCTGGTGGGAAGTGGCTTGCCTGGGAGAGGAAATCTTCCCAACACTCCCACCCAGATCCTCTTCACCTCTTGCACCTCCCTGGGGGAGTGTGAGGCCGCTGTCATCATTTTATTTCTGTTAAGCAAATTGATCAATACGCATGGCTCCAACTGGTCAGAAAGCCTCTCAGCCTGCTTGCGTTTCTGCAGGCAGGAGGAGCTTTCGCGCCCACACGTGCACCGTTAGCCTCCGTGTCTGTCGCTGAGGCCCCTCCCGACAGTCCTCTCTTCGAGTATCCTAGAGCCCCAGGTTGTCCCTTCCCCACATTAGCTGTTGAACAAAAGCAATACAGTTTCTTTCTTTTCTTTCTTGTTTTTTGGCACCTGGGATAGAACTCGGGTCCTTGTGCTTGTGAGGCAGGCAGCAGAACCACTGAGCTAAATCCCCAGCCCTACCCTTTTTTATGTATATGAAAAGGTAGGTATCTAATTGCTTTCCTAATGTTTCCACTCTATCCTCATGCTTCCTTGGTGAATTAGCCTGTTATAGATTACTCGTCACAGGTGAGTGGTGTCATCCTAGGAGCAAGGATTCCTGATGCTCCTGCCTGCCTGGGCGAAGCAGGACATCTGAGGGGCTGCAGCACAGGAGACACTGAGCAGTAGGGATGGAAGGTGACGGAAGGCGATCTTTATTTTTCTTTCTGTCATGCTAAGCACAGTGCCTGGTGCACAGTGGGTACTTAATAGCTGTCCAGCAAGTGGATGGACCTTCGGGATTTCTTCAACTGTGTAAATTCCTGTGTTGACCAAACACGATGAAAGGTTGTCAAAAGTCTTCCATGTCTTAAGGAGGTGGACTGCTCAGGATTGTGACCAGGCCTGTAGCTACCTCTAAAATGAGGCCCTCCAGGGCACCTTGCTACTCAGGTCTGGGAAACAGGGGCACAGAAGGATGGATTCCCCCAGTAGTTGAGCTGGCCCATCAGCAGAGAGAAGAGCCTCACCGGCACCCTTCCCTGAGAGCTGTGCTGCTTTCTCCCTTGCTGCTATCTTCTAGGTCTCTGCGTGGAACTTACAGAGGGCAGAGAAATTCTCTTCACTGCGCAGGGTGAGAAGATGAGGCTTGGTGTTCATGTGCCTGGGACTCACGCTGAGCACAGTGCCAACCTCCTGAAGGAGGCTTCCTGGCGGTGTCAGAGGGAGCCCCGGAGCCCCATGGTGCATGCACAGTAGGCTGCAAGCCAAGTCCAAGCTCAAAGCCATGGCCTTCAAGCACATCCTGGGAAGGGCCAGAGATAAGTATTTCAGGCTCCATGGGCTTGATGCACCTGCTGTTCTCACGCTGCAGGTGACAGTGAATGAGCGGGTGTGGCTGTGCTTCAATTGGGGCTCATGTAGAAAATAGGAGGTGGGTGGGACTTGGTCTTGGGCCATGGTGTGCTGACCCTTTCCCAAACTGTGACTCTTACACA